AATTTTGGATAAACAATTAATACAAAAAGAATTGATAGCAGTAAAAGAGTATATTTTCATACGATAACCTGAAATATATATATATCATTTACTTATTTTGAAGTAAGTAAATTTTTTTCCCTATATTAAATAAAAATTAATGTTCAGTTATAGTTGCTAATTTTTAAAGAGTTCACCAAATGTTGGGGCACCTAAATTTAAGTAAAGTGAAATGAGGTTGCCTTTACTTGGGCCTAAATAGCCCACCAAATGTTGGTCTTGCTCAATGACCCATGACTGCTGCCTAATTGGACTTGATAGTTTGGGGGTGTTTCAATTGAATCTCTTGGGATTTGAAATTGAATCTTAGAGTCTGCTTGAATTGACTTATTAAGTGTTTTTAAGTCAAAATAATTTTGAAGCACTTTTGGAATGTTTGAGTAAATTTAAAAAGTGTTTATAAGCACTTGGTTTTAAGCTAAAATGTTAAAAATAAACTTATGATTTTTGACTTATAAGTCAAACAATAAAAATCAATCCTAATCTGCAAGAATTAAGATTGATTCGTAGCTTTCCTAGCTTATTTTATCTTATTTGAAGTTGGATGAAATTCCTATGACGCTCAATCTCAATACTAGTTGAGGCTCAAACTGCATCGACTTCGAAAGAGAAGACTTTCTAGTCTTTTGTTCTTTTAGGTGCAGAATATAAGACATTTGAATAGAATCCTTGTCTTTAAATACCCATATGGGATTGTAACTATGTTGTATAAGGAAGATCCCCGAAAACATATTGTAATGACCCAAAAGGTCATTTTTGGAAATTTTCATAAAATGACCGTTTTACCCCTCCCGATAGTTGCCCCGAGTCCTAATTGTTGTATTTTCGAAGTTGGTTTGAAGGAAAATTGATGAAAAGTTGAGTTTTTGGAAAGTTGAGTTTTTAAGAGTTAAAGTTTGGTTAAAAGTGCTATTTCGAGTCATTTGGAGTTTCGAGACTCGAATCGGATTTTCGTCGATTCCAGCAGTTTTAGAATGTCGAAACGGGTCTATGAGAATTTACGGAGTCGAATTTGGAGTTAAAACGAAGATTTGAGGTCCTAAGTTGCAAAAATTGTGAAATTTTGATCAAGAGTTGACTTTGGTCAACAAACGAGGTTCCGGGGATCGAAATGGAATTCTGAGGGCACCGTTGGATTCAGGGGGTGATTCTAAGTCTAGGATGAATCTTGGTTGAATTTTTAGAGGCCCTGAGTGCGTTTCGAGTTTTTGAGCCTAAAGTTAGTTTCTTGACGCCTTATCGGATACCGGGTCAAGGAGACCTCGAATTCAAATTCCGACGATTTCATTGAGTCCGAAATGTCATTTTCAAGCTAGTAGCATATTTGGTTTGTGTTCGGGAAGTGCCAAATGAGTTTTGGGTGAGCTTTTAAGCTTCTTGGATGCTTTGACACTATTTCAGCAAATTGTGGCAACTAAAGGGTTCATTATTAGTTTTAAAGGTCGAAAAAAAATTCCGAAGGTTCTGAAATTTTGAGCATGAATTATAGGACTTATCTGCAAATTTTGGTGCATTTTCGCTAACCCGAGATTGGACTTTTATCGCAAATAAGAAATAATTGTTTACCGAGTAGAAATGATATTTGACTGGGCAAACGAGCATGAAATTGAGCTCCGATTGAACGAACAGGTCCGTATCATTATTTAAGACATTTACAAAAAAGAATCGGGTCATTTCACTATCGTATGAGGAAATTACGGCCTTTTTAGTGAAGGATTTAACTGCTGTTTTTCTGGTGCATAACAGTCATGCACTGTTATAAAAATCTCAGACTGTGTTCATTTGGTATTTTGAGCATATCGGGAGTTCTAGAGATCGGAATGGAGTGATTCTTACGGGTTTCTTCTTGAATTAATATGAGGGTTAGTATTCAATCTTCAATTCGACATTTTCTCATAATTTCTTTATCTGGTTTTTTTTTCCCTATCCGTAAACCTCTTGGGAAAAATTGGGGTTTTATCGATTTGGACTCCCTTTTTGATGAAAAAGGTATATTTACGATCCTTATGTTATGGGTAAACTGATTTTAACATAAAATTATTGATTCATCGATTATTTTCATCATATTAACCGCGTACAATTTGGACTTTCCCGGTAAAGTTAAAGTTTGATAAATTGAGAATTTCAAGGTCGATCTTAACTCCGTTTTTGATGAAATTTCATATTTGAACTTATCTAAGCATGGGTAAGATGTTTTTCAAGAGGTATTTCATTTTCGAATCGGGGTTTCGGATCCAAATATTTTAGGCTTCTTCAAGAACATGGATTTTCCTTCAAATTGAGTTTGTGAATTGATTTCAACTCCGTTTTCAAATTGGTTTTCACCATTAGCTTCCAAATACTTTAAGGATCATTTTACATCAAAAATTTCCAGATTTGGGTATCGTTTTCCGGTATGAGACTTTTGGACCGTTTTGCCCTTTTCCCCTAAATTTCTTGATTTTGGTGTCATTGGACTCGAATTGTGATTGTGAATAATTGTTTGAATAGATTATCGTGATCTGGATTATACTCGAAATGGAAAGGCTCAAGTCAAGTAACTTTGCAGTTCGTTTTAAGGCAAGTGGCTTCCAAACTTTGTAAAACTCTTAGACTACGCATGACTACTTTTCACTACAAGAAAAACAGTCTCTAAGGAAGGGAAATATGGTCCCTGAAAGTCAAAATCTGGTCCCAAACGAACATTTGAGACCTGAAAAATCTGGTCGCCACCCGTCTTAAAAGCTTCCTTCGCTATCGCCCAACAACGACGGGAAAAAGAAACTAGTCGCTAATGGTTTTTGGGACGGGGATCCAAACTGGTCGCAAAACACCTTTAGGGACGTTATTTCTGGTCTCAAATAGACCAAATATATATTGAGAAAAATGCTTATCAGGTCGGTAAAACTCTATAAGGACCACCAAAAACTAGTCGTAATAATCTTTAGAGACGATATAGATCTGGTCCTAGTAATCTCTAGCGACCATTAAAGACCTGTCCTTAGAATTGCTTTAAAGACGAGAACTATCTGGTCCTAAAAATACCTTTAGCGACTCACCAACCTCGTCCTAGAATAGCTTTGGCGACTATCAACAACCCCGTCCTAGAATACCATTAGAGACGAGCAACAAGCTGCCTGGACATAGATTGGCCTTTAGAGACCGACAATAATTCTTGTCCTTGATTGAGCACTAATACATTTCAACAAATATCGAATCGCTACTAAAAATTTCGCTACAAAAAGATGATATATATAGAGAAGAGACAGCGAAAATAAGATATATGTAAAGAAAGCAATTCATTACAATAAACTAGTTGACATCCATGATATTGGTTTCAATATTTGTTTAACAAAAAAACATAGCTAACATCCGAGTTAGACTAATTACCATCAAGTTTCGCATTAAATTTGTAGAAAACTAATAATAGTGAGCTCATTCATCTTCTTCTAAACTTGCAGGTATCTTGCACAGAAGAATGAACATAAGGTAGGCAAAAAATTAAAAGTTCCAATCTTCATCGAGTGTTATCCAAAAACATCAACAAAAAAGCTGCAAGAAAATAAGAAAAAAATCCATTAGAAAGACTTTGAGATGCATTAACTGAGAATCTAATATCTATTTTAAAGATCTACAACTAAAATATAACTTCAGTCAGAAAATAAAAATGAAAGAAATAAAAAGAAAGCTTCCTTTCTTAGAAGTTTGGCAATGCCAAAGTCAGTAAGGTGTCCCATCATTTCGTCGTCAAGTAATAACACATTGCTACGCTTAAGATCAAAGTGAATAACTGGAACTGAGTAACCATGATGGAGAAATTCCGAAGCAGATGCAACGTGGAACATGACATTCAATTTCTGCATTATAGTTAAGCCGCGAGAATATAGCAACTAATTGTTTAAGCTCTTGTTTGGCATGTACTCAAGTATCAGTGCTTTAAAATCCAAGTTACAACAACTGCTAATAATGATTTTGGTGAGATTTCTATGACGAAGATTACGAAAGATTTCATATTTTCTGTCAAAGGTTCGAAATGTGCCTTCCATCTGCACATTGAAAACTTTGACAGCTACAGTCATCCCATCTGTTACTGCCCTTTGTAAACAGAATTGAAACTTCAACTACCTAGAAAATTATTTACATCAAAGTCGTGAGTTGCTCTTTGAAGTTCATAGTAAGAAATTCTTTGAGGTGCTACCTCAGGTGACCATTGTTTTACCTCAGCGTCTCATCAACACGAAAACTATTGATGAGGCAGTCCCTATCACAGAGATAACAGAAGAGGCAACTATAATCCATGTCAATCTTCTTTTCTTGGACTTAGACTGATTCTTTGAATTAGAAGGACAAGTCGAGACATGCTTTTGAGTGTTACCATACACCTTACTAACTTTGGCATTGCAGAACTATCTTCTCAGGAATTAAAAGCCTTCTTATAATAAAATAAAGTCAGGTATATTGTTACTTACTTGGTCAGCAGAAAAATAGTTGTCATTCAGTTGAAAAAGGTGATATTGTAGGTGGGGCATCTGAATGTTGAGCAGCGAAGAGTTCTTTCATTTTCATTATTTCTTTCATCGTATCTTCTAAGGTAGACAAGCGATCATTCAAGGATTTGTTTTCCTCAATCAAGGATTTGTTTTCTTCATTCAAGAATTTGTTATCATCTCTAGTTGAACGTAGCGCGGACAATATTTCAGCCTTTGAAGAAGTCCCACCTTTCAAATCTTTCGCCTTTACTCCACCCCCAAATCCAAATACATGACTACGAGTTTGTGGTCCACAACATTTTTCAACAATCTCTATCCTAGCTAGAGATGGATCTTCTTGAACTATTTCTTTAAGTTGAGCCTACAAAATATATGAAAGGACATTTTCTATCAAAACACAACAATTTTAGGCTATTTACTTATTCAATTTACCAAACGTACATGTTTTTCAATTGCTTCAGGTTCAACAAGCTTGTTATCTTTCTTACTAGTCTCAAAGAAAATAGTCGCCAAATCTGGTGGATTGCCATCTTTCCCACCCTTTACATCAAATTCAAACACGTCAAATAACATAAACCTCGTAAATACTCTATCAAGGAAAATAGCTTTTTAACAATACCTTTTGATAAATAATCTCTCGAATAGGTTTGCTACCAATATGATGAAGCATCCTCAGCTTAGATCGGTTTGTTGCATTCCTGATGCTTCTTGCCTGTATTTGTGAAACGATAAGCTTAATTAAAATAGTTATAACAAAATTGTTAAAACATAAGGCATCTCATGCCTGAACAAGCTTCAAGGTTGTTTCCTAGTAATAAACTTAAGCAGTATACATACCTGAAAACTTTCAGAAGTAAAATGTTCCTTTACTAACCATTCCCATTCTTTTTTGTCTACTCCCCTTGGGATATTCTTAAGAGATTGTTGAATTGGGTTATCCTTAACATATTTTGCATGTAAGTATCCTCTCCATTTGTTCCATAGCTCATTCATCCATCCCATGATATGATCACGATGATCATTCATGTCAACAGCCTCAAATTTGTGCTACAAAGGGTTCAGAAGAATCAAGAAAGGACAAAGCAGAGCATAATAGAGAAAGCAATACAAAGCAGAGAAAGAAATGGTAAGACTGACAGAACAAAACAGAGAAGAATATATTGCAAAAAACACAAAACAGGGGAAATTGCAAAATAGAGCTTTTTCTCGCTCTTACTGAAGTCTCGCTTCTCGCTTTTGGGATGGAAGCGCTCACTTTTAATAAAACTGGACCATCTGTAGTTATGTATCATGATATACAAATCAACGTCAACAAAGAGAGAAACATTACAACAAATCCTAGTTGCAATAGAACAAGAACACATTTGTTGGACCAATATTATAGGCAGATCTTTGTCACCTTCAAAATATTATGAGACAGAGGTACCCATAGCACTTTTCTATTCGATATCTCGAGCAAATAAGATTTCAGTAACACATGAAAATGATGTGAAGCTTATGGGAATGAAATATTTGAATGGAGTTGAAATTTGTTACCTCAACAGCTGCCCACATGTGACTTAACTTTTCTTGCTTAATATCACTCCACGAGGTTACACCCAACGGACATATATTACGGTCACGAACAATTTTTCCCAAATGCCTCGAAAACAATTTGCTATTTGTTCCAACAGTTCGATTATTGTAAAATGTTACTTTCAGCTTTTCTCCGTTTTCAAGTGAAGCAACTTCTTTGCACATGTTGCTCCCTCGAACTCTTCTTACCTTTGTAGGATTAGATAAACCTACAATGCATAATTTAGTAAAACTATAGCAATCGAATTCAGCTTTAGAAATTAATAAGATATGGATTGAAAATACCATACCTTTTTCAGTTATTTGAGAGTTTTCTATAACCTGATCAATAGATGGAGGAAATGAATTAGTTTGCATATCCTCTTTCTCAAGAATCATTTTTTCCATTCGTTGCATTTCTTGACTAGACGACATGGTCGAATTCGCTCTTGTGCTTTTAGAAGGAGTTTTGATGTGTTGATTAGCATAAAGTGCACTCTTGTTAATACATCCCACCTCAGAATCAGAAGTCATGTAGTTGTTATGTTTCATTCCCATTCCTTGACTAGTAGAAAAAGTAGAGCTTTTAAGTCCTTGTCCTCGCCCCTTCCCTATAGAACCTCGAGAAATCAAATCATGTTACCAATACTTTAGCATAGTGCTTCAGAGAGGAAGAAGCAGAAAAAAATTGACAAGTACTTGCAGAGAAGATCAGATTGTTAAACAGAAAAAAAAACATAGTGTAATAGAGAAATTGAAAAAGTAATACAAAGAAGAGAAAAAATGGTTGCAGACAAACTTAGAACTTTTGTTTGAAAACACAGCAGATTTTCAAAATTCTTGTCTAGACTTCTTGTGTGTATTGCTTACCTAGATTAGTTGATGCATGAGCTGAAGGGTTAGTTTGCTTGTTCTCTTTCTCAAGATCGATGGAGTTCTTAGGTTTCGTTGCCATTCCTTGACTAGTAAACAAAGTAGAGTTTGTAAGTCCTTGTCCTCCGCCCTTCCCTACACAACATGGAGAAAACAGATCATATTATCAATGCTTTAGAATATTCTTTTTGCGAGCGAGAAGCTGTAAGAAATAACAAAGGCTGGGTTTTCACTATCGACTCGCTTGAGCATTATTAGATTGTTACTTGTCTAGACCTCTTGGGTGTATTGCTTACCTAGATTAGTTGATGCATGAGCTGAAGGGTTAGTTTGCTTGTTCTCTTTCTCAAGATCGATGGAGTTCTTAGGTATCGTTGCCATTCCTTGACTAGTAAACAAAGTAGAGTTTGTAAGTCCTTGTCCTCCGCCCTTCCCTACACAACATGGAGAAAACAGATCATATTATCAATGCTTTAGAATATTCTTTTTGCGAGCGAGAAGCTGTAAGAAATAACAGCGGCTCAAAGAGAAGATTAGATTTTAAGACAAAAAAAACAAAGCATTATATTGAAAAAATAACCAGATCACTGAATTGAGAAACAAAACTGTTACTTGTTTCAATTTCTTGTATGTATTGATTAACCAGATCACTAGATTGAGAAACAAAACACTTAGTTGGAAAATTTCTTCTCTCAGCCAAAGATTTAAGCCCTCGTCCTCGGCCCTTTCCAATAGCACCAGGCGCGACAAATGCATATCTGATAGTACTCTTCATAGATGAGTCAACCTCATTTTCAGTCTTCAATGGTTTCATCTTGAACCTGCAAAAAGAGCCAAAAATAAAAAATTAATAAGAAAAAAATTACGACAATGTAAGAATAAAAGAAATCATGTCATCGTAAGTGTAACAGTGAATATATTAATTCATAAAAATATATTTCACCTCATTAGTTCTTTTATGTTTCTTTTGTGAAGGACTTCCTAACTCTACAATATCATCATGCATTTGTTCCACAATCTCATAGGAATCACGAGGTTGAGTCTTTCTCACTACTTGCCTAACCTTTATTGGAATTATCATTAGCATAAAACACTTGAAATGCTTGGTCCGCTAAAACAAATGGCTCATTTGTTTTCAAGAACCTATCCGGATTAACATTCACGAAATCATACTCATCTTTCTTAACTCCTTTTATTTCATCATACACATCAAACCAATTACAACGAAATAACATCACTCTTCTATCCATGACAAATTGCAACTCAATCACATCTGTTAAAACTCCATAGTAATCAAGGTTCTCACTATCTTTATCATTCTCACCCAATACAACGACACCACAATTTTGAGTCCTTAACTTTTTATCATAATCTTCTACATGAAATCTATATCCATTAACAATGTAACCATTAGAATGCGTCGAATATCGGGTAGGACCGCGTGAAAGCGAGAGAAGATCTTCCATGATAAGACTAGCATCTCCTTTATGCAATTGTGCAACCTATCATCAAGATTATGATGATTACTTTAGAATGAGTATTACAATATTAAAATATCAAATTTTATGTTTATGTATTACTCACCCTATCTTTAAACCATTCAATAAATTGTCGATTCCATTCTACATCAGACAAGTGGTGAGCATTCTCATGAGTTTTGTGCAAACTCTCTACAAAATTGAAGTGAACCATAAATTTCATATAAAATGAAATAATAATATGGAAATAATAATGTGAAGACTTGAAAGAACTCTCCATACTCGAGATATGGTAAGACTTCATCACAATTCTTCAGTATGTATATGTGTGCTTGTTCTAATTCATCTGCTTCAAGCTCAAATGGAGTTTTAGTCTCCTAGAGTTCTTCCAGGTTGACAAATAGTGATAAACCTCCATTAGATTGCTTTAAACCCCCATCATAATTCGTTCAGGCCGATTAATTTTGTGTCAATTCTATGCAGATACCTTGAGCATAAGGTCATACATTCATTTGCAATGTAGCCCTCTGCAATACAACCTTCAGGACACGCCCTATTACCAATGAAAGATTTTAGAAAATATAGCCATCGTTCCACAGGATACATCCATCGATAATGAATCGGTCCAGCAATCTTAGCTTCAGTAGCTAAATGAATAGGTAAGTGAACCATGACATCAAAAAATGAAGGAGGGAAGACCTTTTCTAACTTGCAAAGTGTAATGGGAATTTGAGCTTCAATATGTTCCAAGTTATCAATTCTCAACTCTTTTGATCCAAGAACACTAAAAAATAAAGATAACTCAATAAGAGGTTCACATACTTCTTTGGACAACATACCACGAAGTGCAAGAGGGAGTAAATGTTGAAGAAGAACATGACAATCATGACTTTTCAACCCAGATATCTTGTGATCTTTCAGGTTCACACATTGAGAAATATTAGATAAAAATCCATCAGGAACCTTTAGATTTTTTAGGAAAAGGCATAACTTGTGCTTCTCTTCTGGAGACAATGTGTAACATGCAGTTGGAACTTCAATTTTCTCCCCCTTTTGGATAGGGTGCAATTCTGGCCTAATATTCATTTCTTGTAAATCTAACCGAGTTTTAATTGTGTCCTTGGTCTTTCCTTTGACATTCATGATTGTCCCCATAATATTATCACATATATTTTTTTCAATATGCATAACATCCAAATTATGTCGCAACAACAGACTCTTCCAATATGGAAGTTCAAAAAAGATACTTTTTTTGTTCCAATTATCATTTCGATTTTCATGTAATATCTTCTTTCTTTTCTTTGGATCCTTTGATAATTGTTGCCCTTCAAGATCCTGCACTTGATTAAGTATCTCAATACCAGAACGCATGTGTGGTGAGGGTCTTCTCTCCTCTGTACCATCAAATGACTTCTTGTCATTCCTCCATTTGTGATTATGAGGAAGGTAACGTCGATGACCCATATAACACTGTTTCTTACCATTAGTTAATCGAGTTGATGAAGTGTTTTATTGCAACATGGACATGCCAATTTTCCTTTTGTACTCCATCCAGATAAATTTCCATATGCTGGAAAGTCATTGATGGTCCATAACAAAGAAGCATGCAACTTAAAATTCTTTCTAGCTGACGCATCATAGGTCTCAATACCAACTTCCCACAATTCTTTAATTCCTCTATTAAAGGCTGAAGATATGTATCAATTGCATCTCCTGGGCCATTTGGACCAGGAATAAGCATTGACAAAATAAAATTTTCTTGTTTCATGCACAACCAAGGTGGTAAATTATAAGGAATAAGGACCACAGGCCAAATGCAATGTGAGGTTTTTGAATTTCCGAATGGCTGAAATCCATCACTAGCAAGTCCAAGTCGAACATTACGAGGCTCAGCCGCAAATGAAGGATGAAGTTCATCAAATGACTTCCATGCCATTGAATCAGCTGGGTGCCTCATTATTCCATCATCAACTCTTTTATCCTTATGCCATGTCATAAGAGTAGATGT